ATAAATTAAAGTGCTTAAGTAGGTCCACCCCAACCGCTAACGTAAGCAGCGCCGCGCAAGTATACACTAGGCTTTACTTTGTAGTAACCACCGCAACTTAACGTCCGCAAATGACCAACGGCCGCTACACTAACGGACTTCCCCACTGTTTCAGAGCAGAGAGAAGAGAGAGAAAAAGTCAAGCTGAGCGTAGATTCTGACACCGTTCCACAAAGGAACAAAGATAGTTGGTGAGGAATAGCTTAATTGATTATGTGTTGGCTGTTTTTTACAACTATCTCCTAACTATCTCTGTTGTCGGCCCTAAGCTGTGGAACGCTCTGCCCCTCCATGTCCGAACAGCCCCAACACTGGAGTGTTTTAAATCTCGTCTTAAAACCCACTTTTATTCTCTGGCTTTTAACACCGCATGAGTTGTGTGGTCCCTGTGTCTTTTTATTTATTTTATTTCTTTATTCACTTTTACCTATTTATTGTTATTAATTCTGCTTTATTTTATCTTTTTAGTGTTTTTATAGATTTTATACATTGATAATTTATTTCCTATTTTAATTATTTACACCATTTGTGATGACTATTTTTTATTCTATTTTATTGACTGGTCGAGCTACATGGAGTTTTTTTGTTCTGTACATTTTTTTTTTTTTTTTTTTTGGTGCAGCACTTTGGAACTGTTTTGTTGTTTAAATGTGCTATAGAAATAAAGTGGATTGGATTAGAATGGCAGTTATCTGCGCGAGCGCTCACACCCAGAGCCGTGACGTCACTTTGTCCCGGAGTAGACGTTAATCGGTGAGAAACGTTGGCTGTGACTAAAATGCTATTGTTTATTGTTTATTGTATAAAGGATTGAAATAATTCTACAAATGTTTCATGTAAATGAATGATTAGAAAATGTTGCATACAGAAATTATCGTTTTGTTTTGCTATGTACATGAGAAATGTATTGTACCTATATCGAAAAAAAATGAAATAGATACATTGTCATGACTTGAGAAAATTATTTGCCTGTCTTTTAATACAGGTCAGGTCTTTTTAATGAGGTTTGGCAACATCTTTGGAGAAGACCACTAGATGGCGAGCCACCCCAACTGAGCAAAAACTGGATCTCATCACAAACCTTTTTTAAAGGCGCCATTTTATTTTTGTATTTTAATTTGATATTGTATTTGTGGTATACTTCTTGAAATCTTTTAACTAAATCAATTTACATTTTCTAAATTATTGTCTGTCTATCATTGTGGCTTCAGTTCCAACACTTAATATTTGAGCTCTTTATGAACCTAGTATGTAAATTCCAAAGTGGGTTACATATACAACAAAAACATTATCGGGGGTGTCTAATATCCACTATGTCCACAACTTGAAATTGCATTGACGTTTCTGTGAGACTATTAGATCTGTATTTTATAAATATAATATATATGTTTATTATTTACAAAGCACTGAGCATTGTCACTCCCGTATTCGTCCTGGAAACCGGATTCGTCCAGAAGTTCAGTTTGCGCATGTCAAAAAGTTTAGGCGTCTGATTAAGATGGTTAAGGTTAGGGTTAAGGCTGGGTTGGGGTTATTTTATGGGAATGGCTGGTTAAGTTTAGGCATGAATAGGTAGTTTTTTATATTTACTTCCCTTTCCGTCCAGATTCCGTGACGTAATCTACTGCTGCGTTTGCTCATTGGATCAAACTGAACTTCCGGACGAATCCGGTTTCCGGGACGAATACGGGAGTGACAAGCATGTTGTGCACATGGATCTATTATAATAACTGGATAGGGTATTACAGCTTGTAGCTGACTAACTCATGTGCTCGGGGGATTCTCGCGGTACTGCAGACTGAACCAGACTAAATTCACGTGGGCTACCCAGAAACTTTCCCCATAGAACTCAATGCATATTAAAACAGCTCAACCTCAGCTGACAGAGAACCTACAGCTTTCATAAAGGTCGGATTTTGTGGGGATTTTAGTGTCCCTTGTCATCCTGAACTTTTTTTCTTCTTAAATCCTTCGGTTTTGTTTAAATCCACACTTTAGTGTCACAAACTCTGCTCGTCTGGCTCTCGCTCTAACTCTCGCTCTGATGAACTGCTCTGATTGGTCAGAGCGCGGCCGAGCCCCTCTGTGCACGTGCGTGAGACCCGGTGTGAGACCCACACACGCGTGTTTGGCGCAACGCATCATGGGAGATCATCCACTGCACAGAACCGGGAGGACCAGACGATGCCCAAATACAGGCGAGTTTCCCATAGATCTTTGCGAGTTCCAGGCGACTTCCGCTAATCTTTCAGCCCCCATGCCGTCACAAAGCGCCACTGAGCACAACCATTCATTTGAATAGGGCGCCATCTTGGATCGCCGGGGCTTGGTTGTGCTGTCACTCCCGTATTCGTCCCGGAAACCGGATTCGTCCGGAAGTTCAGTTTGATCCAATGAGCATACGCAGCAGTAGATTACGTCACGGAATCTGGACGGAAGCGGAAGTAAATATAAAAAACTACCTATTCATGCCTAAACTTAACCAGCCATTCCCATAAAATAACCCCAACCCAGCCTTAACCCTAAACTTAACCATCTTAATTAGACGCCTAAAACTTAACCAGTCTCCACTTAAGGACATATTAAACTTTTTGACATGCGCAAACTGAACTTCCGGACGAATCCGGTTTCCGGGACGAATCCGGGAGTGACACATGTGTTGTGTACCACGTGGTCACAGCCAACTGCTTCCTGCGGGAGGAGCGACCCGGAAGTAAGAACAAGAGCGTGTTTTTGTTGTTTCCCACAGCCGCATCTTCCTTCAGTCCCTCCTTGGATCTACAACAGACTCCCACAGAGACAGATGTAAGTACAAGACTTTAAACTCTTTATTGTCCACTAACAGACTGTGGCTTTGAGTCACGTGGGCCTCGGGGATTCCAGCTTTAACTTTGTTTGTGCCAAGATCTGAGTGATCCTGTGTCGGGGCTAATGCTAATGCTAATGCTAATGCTAGTCGTTAGCCTGTCCTTTGTCCTCTCCACTTACTGTTTTCTCTCAGCTGTAGACTTAGTTCAACATTCATTCATGTGATACAGAGTTTGTAAAGGACGTGTCTGAGGTTTATCTGTGACAATGTCCCTGGTTGGACTTTTCTACACTGTCTTTAAAAACTACAGACGATACAATCATAAAAGATCCTCTCTCTCTCATGCTCTCACGGGTTAAATCTGTCTCCTCCATCATCGTTATTTAGCCTCAAACGCAGCTGTTCATCAATATCTTCAGGGTTTCCTAGAAATATAAGGTGCATTAAAAATAACATTCATTATTATTATTATTATTATTATACATCATGTGTGTTTGGCCTCTGTCACATCTGTAGATCAGCTTTTTCAGACAGAACAGTGACAAAGAGAGGACCACCCTCACTCAGCCAATCAGCTCTCAGCCCAAAGAGTCCAATAGTGACTCACAGGGATCTTAAAAATATGCACCAGATGTTTTCTCAGAGGATGAAGACATGTGTCTGATTTTACGCTTTCACAACATGGATTATTCACGAGGAAATAAAAGTGAAGGTTCGGTAAAAGCACACGTTACATTTTTAAGAGATTTTAGATCTGAGTGTGTTCACAGTAAAGTGACAATTGAAGTATCTGGACTTTAAAAGGTTATAACTTAAAAACTAAAATTACGTTCATAGATTGGAAAAAAAGATGTCAAACACAGACAGATTGAAGAGATAGTGTGTAAAAAATCAAAAGGAAAGATTGACATAAAAATGTTTAGCAACATTTTAAACGACCAAATCAGCCTCTGATTGGACCATTCTACTGTGACGCCAGTTACATAGGAAATAAAATGTCCTCAGTCTGAAAAAGCAGAAGATGAAATCCCACAAGATTTACATGGTTACCACAACAGGAGGGAATCACTTTATATTAGGGCTGCACGATATGGACAAAAAGTCATATCTCGATATTTTTGGGCTGAATGGCAATATACGATATATATCTCGATATTTTTCTTCCAGTGAATTGAAACCAATGAGCCATGTTCTTGGTCAAAACCACAGGTGACAAATGTCTCAAAGGCACTTTTATTAATGTTCAACTGCAGAACATGTGCATAAATTGCTTTCATTAAACAAAAAACATTTATTATTATTTTAAATTAGACAAACAGGGAACTTTTCACATGTTTTCAAAGGATAGTTTCTTTCATGGATCAACAAATATTTTTTAACAAATTTGAATCACATAAAAACAAAGTATTTAGGAAAATGCAGTTAATTTTCCCGAACGCCCCAAAAGTAAAAGAAACAAGATTTTAAATGTTTCCAAGAACCATTGTCTTAAAGACTTCAACTGGTTTGAATTAAAAAGCAAACTTTAGTAATAAGAAAAACAAGCTGGGTGTTTGCAGCAAAATTAAATACTTGGGTCACATCATAACTGACCGACTCTGTGATGATGATGACATTAATCGCCAGTGTCGTAAACTGTACGCTCAAGCCAACACCTTAGTGCGGAAATTTCACATGTGCACAGTCGATGTTAAAATTAAACTGTTTAAAATGTACTGTTCACCTCTGTATACAGCTCCACTGTGGAGCAGATATAAGAAGGCTGCACTACAGAAGCTCAAAGTTGCATATAATGATGCTTTCAGGATTTCATTAATTAATTAATCAATTTCATTAAACAAAAAACATTTATTATTATTTTAAATCAAAATAAATTAGAAATAAATATTCCTTTACTGTGTAACAGTATAGTGCAAAATGTGAACAGAAAAGATACTGACAAAAATAACAAGTCAGCCTGCTTTAGGAAAGCTTCAATCTATGAAGGGAGACTGAGGGATGCTTCCTTCTCCTAAATGCAATTCAAGTACTTTGTGCAAATGTAAACAATCAAACAATATAACTCAATGTAAACACGTTCTTGGAACAATTATTTAGCAACCATTAAACTTAAAACATGAAAAACAAGAGGTATTGGCCTGTAGTGTACATCTTACAGATTTTGTGCCAGAAAAATGAGCCTGTCTACACTTTCAGGCTTCAGGGATGCCCTGTGGCAGGTTACAATGTTACCACTGCAACTAAAAACCCTTTCTGAAGGGGAGCTGGTGGCTGGCACACAAAGGTACTTGTTGGCCAGGCGGCTCAGTGCTGGAAAAGCAACCTCATGGTCCTTCCACCATTTGAGTGGGTCAGCATCACTCTCTATGCAGATTGACTGCAGATAGGTTGACAGTTCATGTTCTATTGTCTCTCTCGGTGTGAGTTTGGTGCCGGTGGCACTACCAGTGCCAGGACTCTCTTTAAAGAAGCTTGCGAGTGATTTCTTTCTTTTTGGATTAGGTGGCACTGCTACAGCTGCTCCTTCTTGTTCTGTTGGGTCATTCTGCTCGCGCACACATTCATGCAGCAAAGACTGAGTCTCCAAAATAACTCTGCGTTCCATGTGGTCATGGTCACATGAGATGTATTTGGCCCTGAATCTTGGATCTAGAAGAGAGGCTATATCCAACAGGTCACTGGTAGTTGGGTCTGCATATTTGTTATTGAGGTAATCCACAACTTTGGTCTTGATGGACTTACACAGCTCACTATCCCCTTCTTCAGATGCCATGAGACGATTGTTGAACAGGTGAAGTACATGTCTGACATACGACAGGGTCATGTAGGCCTCTCCTGAGAGAGCATCTGTAAAGTCCTGAAGAGGTTTTAGAGCTTTCTGAATGGCCTCCAGGACCTCTATGTCCTGCCAGGTAAGGACTAGAGGTCTAGTTTTCTTGTCAGCGGACAGGACTTTAGCCAGTGCTCTTTCTTGCTCCAGGACCCTCTCTATCATTACCAACCTCGATCCCCAGCGTGTGGCAGACTCTGTGATCAATTGGTGAGCTGGCAGACCAAGTTGCAGTTGTACTTCAGCCAGTTCTCTTCTTTTTTTCCAGCTGTATGAAAAGCTGCTCACGATCCTCTTGCACAGACCAATAGCACGGGTGATACGGGCATCATTCATGGCATGTCCTGTATGACAAATTGAATAACACATTCTAAAATCACTTTAATTTATTTGAGACACAGAGCTCCCTCAAATACAAATTGAAAGCTATTTACATTAAATAGGAGTGTAATGTTTATATGTGCATGACACTGTGTAAACTACAAACGGTGTGTTAAACTAAACTAAATTAGTAAAACAAGTTCAAGTGTTGAATTTGTGCAATCTAAAACAGGATCTGAAATTTAGACCAGGCATTCAGATACATCTTCACCATTTTTAACCTGGATTTATTTTCACCACCATACTTAAAATGTATTAGACTGAATTTAGATTAATTTTAACCTGATTCAAAAAAAGGAAAAAAAAAAGTCAGAACACAGGCGTTGTTGCATGAATTTGCCAGTTTTGGGATCACCCTACATGAATGAATAATTCAGTATTGCACTTACCAATGGCCAGATGAAGTCTGTGACCAAAGCACTGCATCCTTAACCACTTGTTGAGTTGCACCGCTTTAACAACATTTGCACCGTTGTCAGTAGTTACGGCCACCAGTTTTTCCGGGTTGAGCTTCCAGCTAGAGAGGACGTCTTGCAGAGCCTCTGCTATATGCTCCCCGGTATGGTCCTGAGGAAAGTAGCTCGTCTGGAGACATGCTGATTTCATATTCCAGTCCTCCACAAAATGTATCGTTACACACATGTATGGTTCACAGGTCCGGCTGGACCACATGTCCGATGTTAGTGCAAAATGTGACACTTTGGCGAGTCGGGCGTCCATGCCGGCTCGTACTTCTTTATACATGTTTGGTAACACTTCGTTTGCAAAATAATTTCGTCCAGGTACCTGGTATCTGGGTTCCACAATTTTAAACATCTGAATAAAGCCAGTCTGTTCCACTGTACTAATCGGAGCCATATCCTTAGCGATGTGGAAAGCTATTGCATTCGTGATGTCACGCCACTTCTTACTTGTTTTATCAAAAGTGGCAGTGCGAACGAGTGTGTTCTCCAGCGTGACTTGTTTTGCTTTTGGGTTAGAAGAATGATCTGAGTTTATCTTTGGCCTTGCAGCGCGCAGTCGAAGGCACTCTTCATATTCAACTTTATGTCGCTGTTGTAAGTGATGAAACAGATTCGTCGTGCTCGAACCTTTTGCCGGAATGGATTTTCGGCATTGTCTGCAGAATACATGTTTCTGCTCCACATCTGCAACCTGGAATCCAAACCACCGCCATATGAGTGATCCATTGTTCCTTTTTTTGGAAACCAGCTCCTTTTCCACAACTTCTATCGAGTCAGAGGCAGATTCCATTTTTGTTCATGTTGTGCTGCTGTGCTGAGCGCGCGGGAAGGGGAGGGCTAATTTCCGGGAGGGATGAACGCGACCGTCTTCTTCTACGTTTTTCATCTGTTTGCGGCCGCGGAAATTGACACACGTATATCGTTATTATCGATATTGCCTTATTATCTATAGTGCGGCACAAAAATCTCGATATAACAATAATATCGATATATCGTGCAGCCCTACTTTATATAAAAAGGAATCGTAAAAAAATAAAAATTAATTAAATTACCCTTGAAAAATGTATAACGAACGTGATGAGGACGGTCCTCTTTTCTCTAAAAATTAAACTTGAGAAAAAAAAAATCTGGTCTGTTTTCTCATTTAATTGGTTGACAATATGGAAGTATCACTTTGCATCTACTTTGTGTAAAAAAAAAAATAGAATCTCTGAATCAAATGTGGACATCTGAAAATACCTATCAAACTTCCACAAAGCTCATTCCGTCAAATCATCGTCCGTTACATAAAATAAACAGGGCCGCTATAGGAAACTTGTCTAATGTATAAAACAGTTATGTTCTAGCAACTTCTAATGGACAGAGGAGGTGCTTGGAAACATGAAAAACATAAAATATCTTCTGATTATTAAAATCTAATTTTTGGCCTTTTGTCACACTTTTGTGCCCGTTAGTGTGAACAAGCCCATATACATTTTTGGATTTATGGTAGCAGGGTTCCTCCTGATTGGATTTGGAGTTGGCTTGATCTACCGCAAAGTTGGAGGGCTGTCCACTCAGAAGATTTACGAGCGGCTGTCCGCGGAAAACAAGGAGAGTTTCCGCGAGTTGGTCAGAGTCGTGGTCGAGGGCACAGTGGGGACACAACGGGGGGTGAGTCGGATCGAACATTCCCGTAACTCATTGATTGCCAGACTTGTTTCAAATCAGGGAAGTGCATTCTGCCAGAGTTTTCAGGGGATTTCACCTAACTTTGAAGAGCCACAGAATATTCAGTTATTTCACTATATACACAGCAATGGTACCAAATGAAAGCTAAGAGCCTAATCTTTTATCTGCAAAAAACAGTTTGTTTTTACCTCTTACCGTTTTTGAGAAATCTGTCATAGAACATAGTATAGTTTCTCTCAAAACACCAGTTGCAGACTAGAAAACTGAGAAAACTAGCTTTTTGTAAATTGTAACATACCAAGCAGAAAAGTGATTTGTAGCTGATAGTTTTTTTTTTAGTAACACCTCAAACATCTAAACACTTGTTCCATTCAATAAATGACAAAAATATGACTCGGAAATATTACTTTTGATGTAAAAAAAACAATGATTTATTCACAAAATAGAACCATTTTCTAGAATTAGAAAATTTGAACAAACAAAGGAACACATGTGTCCAAAAATACACAAATATAGAATATATTGAAACAAAATCTAACATTTGAAAAAAAAGTGTGTGTCAGTCCTCCCAGTAGTTCACCTTGGTATGGTAGAGGGTGAAACACTCTCCTGTGTGCAAGGGGACATGACACGATGTGCACCACCTGTTTGTCTCCTTGTGAAGACCCCTGCGTGCACACACCCGACATTTTCTTGCTGGTCTCCTCTTACTGGTAGAGGGGTAATAGGCCACGTTTTGGTCCAATTTATCCACCCCGTTCATGCATGTGTTGTATGCTACAACACATGCTGGCTTCCATTGTGGCACCTTCTGTTTTGTTCCCTTCTGCCACACTTCCACCCTCTCCATGGTGTTTTCATGACAGGTTGTCACCATCTTTACCAACCTCTTGTCTTGCCACGGCACCACCATAACCTTCCCATTCTGCCGCACAATTCTTTCTCCAACTTCTACAATTTTTGTCAGCTCTTGGATTATGTTTGGTTCACCCCGATTCTTCCTTAGTGTACCACATATATTTGTTTTTTTTTTCTCGAGCAAACGCTCACAGTGACACAGAATTATAAAAATTGTCCATGAACAGAGTGTGTCCTTTGCCTTTGAGACGATCAAGGAGGGAGAAGACTGTGTCCTCTATTGTGTTGCTCGTTCCAACATAAGGCTGCATGTTGAAGCAGAGTCACAAAGAGTGTATGATTTGATACCATACTTCACTGGCTTTTGTGGGTTATACACTCTAAAAGACAGTCGCCCCCGCCACTGCATCATCCCCTCATCAATGCATATGTTTTTGCCAGGATTGTACAATGACTTGAATTTTTTCACAAGGTAATCTAACACTGGGCGGACTTTATGCATTTTATCACTTGCGTCTTGTGATCTATTGTCATTGTAATGAAGGAACCGCCAAATGATTCGATACTTGTTCCTTGACATTATTTTCCCAAAATAGGGTCGTAGCGTCCTGCTCATCCACACACCAGTACATGGGAATGCTCGGCTTTTTCACGTAACCTGTGATAAAGCTGAGTCCGAAGAACTTTTTTAGTTCAGGTACAGACAGTGGTTTCCACACATTGCTTCGGCTGTGGGGCAAAGTGTCTTGGTGTGTCTCAAGATACTGTCTGGCATACAGGTTGGTCTGGTCTACCATATGTTGGAGCAGTTCCTCCGTCAAGAACAGCTCCAGGAAGTCAGCTGGTTCCGACGAATCCAACTCCGCAGCAGTTCCCTGGGGTCCAGACTCTTCTGAGAAGTGAAACAGATTTGGCTCCCACTCATCATCATGATGCCAGTCAGCATCTTCCCCACAGCCTCTGCTTGATCCACGGGCTGTAAATAAGAGAAATACATTTAATATGTTATACTGATAGAATAGCAGACTATATTATTTTATTTTATTGCCATGTGATGTGCTAAAGTTGAAATAGTCATTTCTTTACCTCTCTTTGCACAAGAACCTCTGCTTGGTGCACGACCTGTAAATAATAGGCAAATGTGTGTCACTATACTAGGAGATTACATGTACAAAAACATTTACAGTGGAATGAGGAGGATTTATTTTTCCTATCCTCTTTGCTCTGCCAATAGGTGGGGTATCTCTGCTTGTATCAGGATCTGTGAATTGAGAAACCATTCATTTCAGTAAGAACTATGACACTATAACAATATGTATAAGTAAAAAATAACAAAAACACAAAATCATTTTGAAAACATGAAATGGACATTATAAATGCCATGTACAAAAGCAGCAGTAGTGATGTGAAGATCAAAGACAAGTTCCCGGGCCTCTCCCCTCCCCTCCCCTTTCTTAGCTGAGCAAGCTACATATGCTAGGCTAGGAAACGTAGCAAGTTCTTACCTTCAACTCTTGCTGGAGCTTCTGGGGATGAGGCTCTGCTTGATCCAGGCTCAGACGGCAACCACTCATCCGAAGAGTCTGGATCTGGTTCGCTGAACGAATCAGATTCGTCAGAAGAGACGGCCGTTGGCGTGCTCCGTGAAGCGCCGGGTCGCTCCCTGTTACCAATGGTCCGCACTCTCGCGGTTCTATGGTGCGCTCGGGACGGACCCTCTCCAGGATCTGCACCATCTCCCCTATCTCCCCTCGCAACTGCACTCCCTGATCTCTGTGTCAAACTCTCCAG